TAATAGCCAAATCAAGACATAAATGTAAAAAGTGGTAAGTATCATATATAAAGGTTTGGTTCTCATCATCAGTCTAACTTTAACTTGGCCAACTTTTTTTTACAAACTTAAATTCCTTAATTTGAGATTTGACAGTAAATTCAATAGCAGTCGATATTTAGGGAATGATTTAAGTTTCCTAACAATATGAACTGTACACACATTCACTTTTCTCAAGGGTAGTTAAGTAGCATGGCAGGAGTACTTCTTTGTTCTCTATATGTGCTTTAAAAGTTAAGGCTTTATGTTCAAACTCAGTCTCTCATCAACTTTAGACATGTTAATTCTTCTTTAGGGGTAATATCTTCTACGAAGTGTTATGGGTTAAGACGGACGCATCTGATCTGCTATATGCTGAAATTGATGTCGCTCTTGATATATCCGGCTTTGTACTTAGCAATATTTGACACTTTCTCAACGATTGAAAGTTTTTCTTACCGAATGTTTTGTATGAAGTCTCAAAATATACAAATCATTTCTAAAAAAAAGAAATATATATATATATATATATATATATATATATATATATTTATAGCCTCCAAAGTATAAAATATCTAGAATATTTTAATCCTAAATCTAGAGAGTTCTAGCATAATATCTAGAATTTTATATTACAATTATCTAGAGAAATATCTAGATATTCATTCTCTATAATTTTCTAGAATATTTTAAGGAGGTGGAGATGTTTAGATATTTCTAGAAAAAACTCTAGAACTCGGATCAAGTATTGGGTTTGGCCCAACAAGTGATAATTGGATCATTGATCCAATAATTAAACTTGATCCAAAATCAAGTTTACTTTTCAACACCCCCTCTTAAACTTGATTTTGCTACTCCAAGCAAACTCCTCATCTTGATAAAATCTTCGCGCTTGAGAGGCTTGGTGAAGATATCAGCTACTTGATTATTCGTCTTCACGTACTCTAATTGAACGTCCCTCTTGGTAACACACTCTCTAATGTAGTGATAACGAGTGTCAATGTGCTTATTTCGATCATGGAAGACTGGGTTCTTTGCCAAAGCTATTGCTGACTTTTTATCCACTAAGATCTTCGTTGGCTCCTTTTGTGGCAAACTCAACTCCTTTAACAGGTTTCGTAACCAAACAGCTTGGCAAACACATGAAGTAGCCGCTACATACTCCGCTTCACAAGTAGAAAGGATGACAATTGGTTGCTTCTTTGACATCCATGTGAAAGCTGTATCTCCAGTGAAGAACACGAATCCGCTTGTGCTTTTTCGGTCATCTACGTCTCCACCCCAGTCGCTATCGCTAAATCCAACAAGCTTGTAATCGTCAGAAACAGAGTAATACAAGCCAAAGTTTATGGTACCTTTGATATAGCGAAGTATCCTTTTAGCTGCCTTGAAATGAGTTGTTGTTGGATGCTCCATGTATCGGCTCACAACTCCGACTGCATATAGGATGTCAGGTCTTGTGCACGTTAAGTAGCGTAGGCTTCAAACCAAGCTCTTAAATAGTGTTGGATCTACACTCTCTCCTTCTTCTTGCTTTAACAATTTGGCTCCACATTCCATTGGCGTGCTTACTAGATTCGAGTCATCCATCTTGAACTTCTTAAGAACCTCTTTAGCATAGCCTTCTTGAGTAATAAAAATTCCATTATCTTCTTGTCTTACTTCAATTCCAAGGTAGTAAGACATCAATCCAATATCGGTCATCTCGAACTCCTTCGTCATCTCCATCTTGAATTCCTCGAACATACTTGGATTGTTGCCTGTGAATATCAAGTCATCTACATACAAGCATGTACTTGGATTGTTGCCTGTGAATATCAAGTCATCTACATACAAGCATGCAATCAATATATCATTGTTTTAAGTTTTGATATAGAGTGCATGCTCATATGGACACTTGATGAAACTTTTCTCCTTGAAGTTCTTATCAATTCGAGTATTCCAAGCTCTTGGTGATTGTTTTAACCCATAAAGCGCCTTCTTTAACCTCAAGACTTTGTCTTCTTCTCCCTTGATTATGTAGCCTTGTGGTTGCTCAATGTAAACTTCTTCTTCAAGATCTCCATTTAAGAAGGGTGATTTGACATCCATTTGATGTATCTTCCAATTGTTTTGAGCTGCCAATAAAATGATTAATCTAACAGTTTCTAGACGAGCAACAGGAGCGAATACCTCGTCATAGTCGATTCCCGTTCTTTGACTATAACCTTTTGTCACCAATCTTGCCTTGTATCTTTCAACTTCTCCTTTAGAGTTCTTCTTTGCTTTGTACACCCACTTCACACCGATCGCCTTATGCCCATTTGGAAGTGAAGCTAACTCCCATGTCTTATTCTTTTGTATCGCCTTGATCTCTTCATCCATTGCATTTCTCCATGTCTTCTTCTTCATAGCTTCTTCAAAATTCATGGGCTCGCAATCCGCAAATAGACAAAATAAAGTAAGATTGTCTTAATTTTCAGTTACCTCGTAAAGTTCTTACAGACTTCTGAAACGTGGAGTCCTTTCGCTCGAACTTTCATCTTCTTGAGAACTCGTTGTTGGTGAAGTTGGTGGGGGTAACAGGCTCCTCTCTTGGTTGCTTCAATTCATCTTCTTCAACATGTGGAAAGAAGTTGTAGTCTTCATCATTTGATCTCCAATCCCATTCTCCTTCTTCATCAAAGATGACATTTCGACTGATGATTGTCTTTTTTGTATCAGGATTGTAGAGCTTGTAGCCTTTGGAGTTGGCATCGTAACCAATGAAGATGTACTTCTCACTTTTGTCATCTAGTTTGCTCCGCTTCTCGTCCGGTACATGAGCGTGAGCAAGGCTTCCAAAGACTCTTAGATGAGAAACACCGGGCTTCCTTCCGCTCCAAGCTTCTTGTGGTGTTTTTCCCGAAACACTTCTTGTTGGAGATCGATTTGATAGATAAACCGCGCATGCAACTGCTTCTGCCCACAACTCTTTTGGTAGTTTCTTACTTTTGAGCATGCTCCTTGCCATTTCAAGGATTGTCCGGTTCTTCCTTTCCGTAACTCCATTTTGTTAAGGGGACCTCGGCACCGTCAATTGTCTTCGAATGCCGTTATATTCATAATACTTCTCAAATTCCTTGGATGTGAATTCTCCTTCACGGTCGGATCTTATGGCTTTGATCACAAGGCCACTTTCCTTCTCGACATGGGCTTTGAACTTTTTGAAGTTTTCAAACACTTCTGATTTTTCCTTCAAAAAGTAAACTCATGTTTTTCTTAAAAAATCATCAATAAAGAGAAGAAAGTAGTTACTTTTACTGAGTGATATTGGTTTGATCGGGCCACATACATCTGTATGTATGAGTTCCAATGGCTTCCGTGCTTTTGTGTCTGACTCCTTTGGAAAGCTCATTTTGAATTGCTTTTCAAGTAGACACCCTTCACACACTTGATTTGGATGGTTGATGCAAGGCAATCCTCTCACCATCTCCTTTTTAGAAAGTAGCTCTAATCCTTCAAAGTTAAGATGCCCGAATCGAAGATGCCAAAGCCAGGACTCCTCCTTGTAGCACATCTTGAGACATTGTGCGATGTCATTTTGAATGTTAAGAACAAACATTCTATTCTTTGACATCGGCACCTTGGTAATGAGATTGTTTTCTTGGTCTCTTATAGAAAGGTTATTATCCTTTAATCGAATATCATAACCTTTCTCTAAGAGTTGTCCAAGGCTCAATATATTGGTCTTCATGCTTGGGATATAGTAAACATTGGAAATAAATTGATGATCTCCATTCTTCAATCGGATGAGAATATTTCCTTTACCTTTCACCTCCATCTTCGATTCATCTCCCAAAGCCACATTTCCTTTCACCGATTCATCAAGCTCCACGAACATGCTTCTTTTCCCGCACATGTGATTGCTTGCACCGCTATCGAGGTACCACTTGTGAACCTCATCTTGTTCATCTTTCTTGTAAGCCATCAATAGCATATCATCTTCTTGGCTTCTTTCTTCAACATAATTGGACTTCTCTTCAACTCTATTATTGTTCGGAGCTTTGCATTCGGAAGCATAGTGTCCAAACTTTCCACAATTATAGCATTTAATGCTTGACTTATCGTACCTTGGTTTTTGATTTCCTCTCCCACGACCTCTTGATGAACTTTCTCCTCTTTGGTTGGTGTTGTCATCATGAGGCCTCCAACCTCATCCATTTTCATATCCACAACCTCGTCCTCGGACTTGACCGCCACCTCGTCTTTGATAACTTCGTCCGCTTTCTTCTTTAGTTTGATCAATCCGCATCTTGAGTACTTGCTCTGCAATATCTTCCTTCTTCTTCTTCTTTTCTTCATAAGCTTGTAACGACCCAAGAAGTTGCTCCATCGTCATAGCCTCCAAATCCTTTGTTTCTTCAATGATAGTGACAATATGCTCGAATTTTGGATCCAACAATCTAAGAACATTCTCCATGATTCTCACCTCATCTAACTTCTCGCCATTTCTCTTTTGTAATCAAGAAGTTCCAAGTTGTTCTAAGGTGTTCAAAAGAAATAAAAATCTTCTTCTTCCTAAATTTTCTATTGTCTCCCGAATTCGTAAACACTTTCTCCATCACCTCCAAATATTTCTTCCCAACACATTGCTATACACGAAGTAGAAGGTGTTAAGAAACCAAAACTGCAAATACCACGTATAAACTAAGTTATATAATCAACATGCGAAAGGCAACCAAAGTATTCATACATCTCTTTCACCAGTCGCATGATACCCTCCGTAATCACCATGCATGAAACTTCCCTACGCTCCCTTTAGATATACATTTCTTAATTTTTTCATCTAAAATTCATGCCAACTTCTCCTATATAAGTATGTTCAGGATGCTGCAAAATATTTCACAAGGAATCTAACGTGGCAAAGTGCAATTTATTCGTATAACCTAATCAATAAATTATACGCATTGGAAAAAAGGAAGAAGTATGGACTGATGAAATCATTAAAGTTCAATAGTTACCTTCTCCTGAAGCTCAGCGATTGAATCAAGCATCACTTGGCTCTGCAAATAAATATTCCGTAAAACTAGCAACAATTTTCTTTTAAGAGAAACTTGGAAATCTTACGAAGTTATAGTGCTGAAACTTGTGTACGGTGAGAACTTGTGGATGATATATATAGGTTCCGCATTATGTCTATCTTATAATCTTCTAAATATTCTCTACCTTTTATTTGCTTTGTGTATGTTTCTTAAGCAATAATATCAGCATTCAGCTATGTTCTATTCAACAGGGTTGGAAAAATAGGGTAGCCTACCTTTCTTGTTCGGATATTTTTCAGTGAAGTTTCAAGCTGTTGCTCAAGTTGTCCAAGTTCTTTAAGACTCAAGGGGTCAAGATCCTCCCCCATAAGATGCCTGAAATTATTGCAATAAGCACATGATAAGCATAAAACTCTAATAAGAAACCATGAGTCAAAAATCACGGACGAGTACCTTTGGCTCCTTTGTAAACTCTCAATCTTGCCCTTAAGCTTACTATATTCAAGGC